CTTAGAAGTATATTAGAATTCTGCGCTGCTTTATTAACTTGATCTTTTTTCTAAAATTGGATCAGAACCATTTTAACTATGACTATCCTGATTATAATCTGACTAACTGACATCATAAAATGATTTGGGATAGTAAGCCTTCCTACTCAAAATGTGTTACTTATCTTCTTCCTTAATTGAGTGTATATTCCTGACATAGAAATCAATGACTTTGATGAAATCCATTCCACTCAAGTGATAGTCACCAAAGAAATGCATGAAATAAGAGAGATGAGCTTCATAAGGCTAAAGTGGTTACCCATATAATACCCCTGAATGAAGCATGTTTGAGCATCTTTTTATATGCCTTGCATCATAGAACTCTATTCTAATGAAGGGCTTCTTGTCTGTACTAAAACCATATATAGGAAATTTGTATGCAATTTGGCAATTATGAACAATTTACTCATTTTTGTCCTCATATTCTTTTCTAAGAATTCGTGGTGATTTCAATCCTGATTTCTGATACAAACTCAAATAAATGCAGAATTCTAGGTTATCTGCAAAACTTCTCAAGAACTCCTTAATATTATCTTCTGTTGCTTTGCTGAGATTAAAAGCATGAACTGGAAATTCACAATATAAAAATGGATAGTACTAATTAGATATAAATAATGAATTATCATTACATCAAAAACATTAAGACATGCTTTTTAACCTCTTTTAGTTATCCCAAAGAATCTCAATACAGGAACCTACATTCTAAGTCAATCATCATAATCTTTAATATTTACTCTCTTTATTTTCCTCTCTGGAAAGATAGGCGAATATAAAGCATGTAGTTGAAGTTATTTTTCTCATATTATTTCTTCTTGTTTAGATTAATCAGAAGCACTAAAGATCTTAACCTTAGATAGGTCCTGCATGTAACTATCATTGTAAAATATTCTCATAGCAAAAAATTAGTTCATTTCTTGATTTATAATTTCAAAATAATTAAATATACGCCACCTTAAAATTTTATGAGATAATGGGGTTTTGGGGTTTTGGGGTTTTGGGG